AATTTTTGCATTTTTAGTAGAGACGGGATTTCACCATGTTGGCCAGGCTGTTCTCGAACTCCTGACCTCAAGTGATCTACCCACCTCAGCCTCCCAAAGCGCTGGGATTACAGGTGTGAGTCATCACACCCAGCCTGAGAGGCTCGACTATAACTCAGCACAGATGATCTATGAGGCTCCAAAATTGCCTCCACCTGCTTCCCTGGGACATTTCTTCTCTCCCTCAGGGCTGGTTTTCCCCAGACTCCCACATTGGCTAGCCTTGGTCTCTGTCTCCACCTTCCAACAGTGCATTCCAACAGAGGGAGATGACCTGGGCTTGGATCCCTGCCAGCTGTATGATCTTGGGCCTGGGATTAACGTGCTCTGAGCTTTACTTCACACACCTGGCTACAAATATGTTAATGCCTTCATGTCATCTGCTCCACTTAAGGATTAAATGTTTTTAATTTTATTATTTTTTTGTATGTGTGAGACAGTCTCCTTGTGTTGCCCAGGCTGGAGTGTAGTGACACAATCACGGCTCACTGTGGTCTGGACCTCCTGGGCTCAAGTAATCCACCCATCACTCCCTACTGAGTAGCTGGAACTACAGGTTTGCAACACCACACCCAGCTATTTTTTTTTTTTTTTCGTTTTATTTCTGAGACTGAGTCTCCCTCTGTCACCCAGGCTGGAGTGCAATGGTGTGATCTCAGCTTGCTGCAACCTCCGCCTCCCAGGTTGAAACGATTCTCCTGCCTTAGCCTCCTGAGTAGCTGGGATTACAGGTGCCCACCACCACACCTGGCTAATTTTTGTATTTTTAGTAGAGATGGGGTTTCTTTTTTTTCTTTTTTTGAGACGCAGTCTCGCTCTGTCGCCCAGGCTGGAATGCAATGCTGTGGTCTCAGCTCACTCCAACCTCTGGCTCCCAGGTTCAAGTGATTTTCCTGCCTCAGCCTCCCTAGTTGCTGGGATTAAAGGCATGCACCACCACACCTGGCTAATTTTTGTATTTTTAGTAGAGACAGGGCTTCTCCATGTTGGTCAGGCTGGTCTTGAACTGTTGACCTCAGGTGATCTGCCTGCCTCAGCCTCCCAAAGTACTGGGATTACAGGTGTGAGCCCCTCCGCCGCCATTTGTTTATCTTCTAATTGTTTCTTTCAGATGGGTCTTGCTGTGTTGCCCAAGGTGGTCTGGAATTCCTGGTCTCAAGCGATCTTTCTGCTTCAGCTTCCCGACAGGATTTGTTTGTTTGTTTGTTTTTTGAGATGGAGTCTCGCTTTGTTTCCCAGGCTAGAGTGCAATGGTGCAATCTCTGCTGAATGCAGCCTCTGCGTCCAGGTTCAAGCAATTGTCCTGACTCAGCCTCCCAAGTAGCTGGGATTACAGGTGTCCATCACCATGCCTGGCTAATTTTTTGTATTTTTAGTAGAGTCGAGGTTCTACCATGTTGGCCAGACTGGTTTAGAACTCCTGACCTCAAGTGATCCGTTCACCTCAGCCTCCCAAAGTGCTAGGATTACAGGCAGGAGCCACCACCAATAGTTTTTTAAAAATCAAAATTAGGAGGCCGGGCGTGGTGGCTCACGCCTGTAATCCCAGCACTTTGGGAGGCCGAGGTGGGTGGATCACGAGGTCAAGAGATCGAAACCATCCCGGTCAACAAGGTGAAACCCTGTCTCTACTTAAAATACAAAAATTAGCTGGGCATGGTGGTGTGTGCCTGTAGTCCCAGCTACTCGGGAGGCTGAGGCAGGAAAATTGCTCGAACCCAGAAAGCGGAGGTTGCGGTGAGCCGAGATTGAGCCATTGCACTCCAGTCTGGGTAACAACAGCGAAACTCCCATCTCAAAAAAAAAAAAAAAAATCAAAATTAATGCAACAAATCCAAATGAAGACAGGATTCTTGATTTCCCCTTTTTGCCTCAGGCACCAGTATGGCTCAGTCCACCCTTGTCCTTTTTTTTTTTGAGATGGAGTTTCACTCTTGTTGTTCAGGCTGGAGTGCAGTTGCAAGGTCTGTACTCACTGCAGCCTCGGCCTCCCAGGTTCCAGTGATTCTCCTGCCTCAGCCTCCTGAGTAGCTGGGACTACAGGTGTGTGCCACCACACCCAGCTAATTTTTTGTGTTTTTAAATACAAAATAACACCGTGTTAGCCAGGATGGTCTTATCTCCTGACCTGGTGATCTGCCTGCCTTGGCCTCCCACAGTGCTGGGATTACAGATGTAAACCACTGCACCTTGTCTTTTTTTTTTTTTGAGACAGAGTCTGGCTCTGTTGCCCAGGCTGGTCTGCAGTGGCATGATCTCAGCTCACTACAACCTCTACCTCCCGGGTTCAAGTGATTCTCCTGCCTCAGCCTCCTCAGTAGCTGGGATTACAGGTGCCCACCACCATGCCTGGCTAAATTTTGTATTTTTAGTAGAGATAGTTTCACCATGTTGGCGAGGCCAGTCTCAAACTCCTGACCTCAGGCAATCCACCCACCTCAGCCCCAAAAAGTGCTGGGATTACAGGTGGGAGCCACCACGCCCAGCCTGCAAAACCCCATCTTTACAAACTTTTTAAAAATTAGCTGGGAGGGAGGGAGGGAAGGAAGGAAGGAAGGAGGGAAGGAGGGAAGGAGGGAAGGAGGAGGGAGGGAAGGAAGGAAGGAGGGAGGGAGGGAGGGAGGGATGGAGGGAAGGAAGGAAAGGAGGGAGGGAGGGAAGGAAGGAAGGAGGGAAGGAGGGAAGGAGGGAAGGAGGGAGGGAAGGAAGGGAAGGGAAGGGGAGGGGAGGGGAGGGGAGGGAAGGGAAGGAGGAAGGAAGGGAAATCTGTCAGGAATGACCTGTTCCACCTCACCTTTCAGGTGGCCTATGGTCTACCATGCTACTCCTAGGTATTTGAAAAATGAAAATTTATCTTCCCTAAAATACTTGTACAGTACAAGCTTTATTAACAGTGGCCAAAGACTGGACACAAACAATTGGCCAAGAACAGATGGGTGAAACTGTATTGGCCACATTGCAGTATGGCCACACAATGGAATATTACTCAGCAATACAAAGAATGAGCTGTTGATATCCCCACAACACAGGCAACTCTCAAAACCACTTTGTTGGGCTGGGCGCAGTGGCTCATGCCTGTAATCCCAGCACTTTGGGAGGCCGAGGCGGGCGGATCACAAGGTCAGGAGTTGGAGACCAGCCTGGCCAACGTGGTGAAACCCTGTCTCTACTAAAAATATGAAAATTAGCAGGGTGTGGTGGCAGGAGCCTGTAGTCCCAGGTACTCAGGAGGCTGAGGCAGGAGAATTGCTTGAACCCGGGAGGTAGAGGTTACAGTGAGCTGAGATCGTGCCATTGCACTCCAGCCTGGAGGACAGAGTGAGACTCCGTCTTAAACAAAAAAAAACCCACAACACTTTGTTGAGGCCAGGCATGGTGGATCACGTAATCCCAGCACTTTGGGAGGTTGAAGTGGGCGGAGCACATGAGGCCAGGAGTTCAAGACCACTCTGGCCAACATGGCGAAATCTCGTCTCTACTAAAAATATGAAAATTAGCCAGGCGTGGTGGCGAGCGCTTCTAGTCCCAGCTACTTAGGAGGCTGAGGCAGGAGAATCACTTGAACCTGGGAGGCGGAGGTTGCGGTGAGCTGAGATTGTGCCACTGCACTCCAGCCTGGGCGACAGGGCGAGACTCCGTCTCAAAACAAAAAAAAATTGTTGAGCAAAAGTCAGACACAAAAGACAACTCTACTTATGTGAAATTGAAGGAGACAAAGCATCCTGTGGTAATAGGAAAATAGTACAAAATGTCCTCTCCACTTGAGTCATTCCAAGCTCCCTGTTTGTTGTTGTTGTTGTTGTTTTGAGACGGAGTTTCGCTGTTGTTACCCAGACTGGAGTGCAATGGCACTATCTTGGCTCACCGCAACCTCCGCCTCCTGGGTTCAAGCAATTCTCCTGCCCCAGCCTCCAGAGTAGCTGGGACTACAGGCGCGCCACTAATGCCCAGCTAATTTTTTGTATTTTTAGTAGAGACGGGGTTTCACCATGTTGGCCAGGATGGTCTCGATCTCTTGACCTCGGGATCCACCCGCCTCGGCCTCCCAAGTGCTCGGATTATAGGCGTGAGCCACTGCGCCCGGCCACTCCCTGTTCTTTTCAGAGCTTTCACAAAGGAGGATCACCAGGCCGCACATTGAAAGCAACTCCAACAGTTGCGGTTTCGGTTGCTAGCGCAAAAGCCGCGCTTTGAGAGGGTGGGGCACACGCCCTGGGGCAATCTGGTCTTCAGTAAACATGGCGGCACCCATAGAGCGCCACACCCAGATCACCAGACCGCGCGCAGTCGGCGCTCGTCTCGGTCGGCTCACTGGGGCGCGCCTACTTTTAGATTGACCAATGAACGGGAGGCGTAAGGCATGCCCTCTTTCTTTCCCTCTCCACCAATAATCTCCCGGTCCCTTCCACAGGACCCAATCACCGCTTCGGTCTCTCTTGAGTGAAAAGGCAGCGGCCCAGTGAGCAGAGCTGTAGTCTGACGCAAGAGGCAGGAAGCGCGGCAGCTCGTGCGTGAGCGCCCGCGGATAACCGAAGTCGGAAGGCGCTCCTAGCAGCACGCGAAGAACGGGAAGTCAGGTGAGCGGCGGATCCCGGGCGCGGGGCCGCGGTGTGGAGACGTCTCGCCTAAGAACGGGAGTACGAAGGGAGACGTTGGGAGCTAAGGAGAAGAGGAGAAGGGGTCGCGAGACGAGGGGGTCGGGGCGGTTGGGTGTCTGGCGCTGTGTAGTGGCCGTTGGGCACCGGAGCGCATGTGCAGGGTCTGGGGCCGACCGTTGGTGCTCAAGTTTCGGGGCCCGCTTCCGGGAGAGGCTGTCATGGTCCCCTCCGCTCAGAACTCTACTTAAAGTCTGCCACTCCTTCCGAATAGACCGCGCGGCGGCCTGGGGCTGTTTGGAGAGGGACGAGGGGGAGACGCCGGGGTCTGGGGCCTGGTGGGAGAAGTCTGAGCTTCCAGATGTCAGGGGTTTCTTTGGGTCCGAGGGACTTCCCCCTTTCCCAGTTTTCCTTCTTCTTAATTCTATTTTTACGGGATTCGAGATGCTGAGATTTAGGACAAATAAGATTTTCTTTTGGAAGTAGGAGTCCCCAGTAGGGAATAAACTCCGGGGTGGAAAGCCAGCCTGTCTGGGGACACTTAAGGGTAAATGGGTACACGTGGCGTGTCTGGATTGTCAGTTCCTTGCTGTCACATTTCAAGTTAATCCGCTCCTGGCGCCTCCGCGGTCACGGCCACCCACTTAGGCGGGGAAAACCCCTCCACATCCTTTCCTGGTCTAATCTGTTTTGAGCTTTAGATCCTGTCCATCCCGCTTTCTCGAAAATTTTGTATTTTAACAAACTTAATTTGTCCCAATTTTTCTCTTTTTTTTTTTTTTTTCCTGAGACAGCCTTGCTCTGGCCAGGCTGGTCTCGAATTCCTGACCTCAAGTGTTCCAACCGCCTCACCTCAAAGCGCTGGGATTATAGGCGTGAGTCACCACGCCCAGCCCCAGTTTCTTTTTTTAAATTTCTTTTTCTTGAGAAAGGTTCTTTCTCTGTCACCCAGGCTGGAATGCCATGGCGCCATCACGGGCAGCCTCGACCTCCTGTCTCAAGCGATCCTCCTGGCACAGCCTCCCAAGAAGCTGGGACTACAGGCCCGTGCCACCACACCCGGCTAACTTTTTTAAAACATTGTTTTTGTATAGACGGGGTCTAGACTTACTGTCCAGGTTGGTCTCAAACTCCTGGGCTCAAGCCATCCTCCCACCCTGGCCTCGCAAAGTGCTGGGGTTATAGGAGTGTGCCACCATGCCCAGTGTATTTCCTTGAAATACACCATATCTTGGCCACCTAGATTTAGAGCCCATCGTAGACTGTGGCTCTTCTTTACCCATGGATTGCTCAGGGGATGGTCCTGTCTTGTGGCGTGTCCCACCCTTTCCTTCCCTACCTCGCTCTCCTATCTGGTTACTTCTCTTTCATTTGGTGAGGAGTTTTCCCTGCTGCTGGTCTTAACCTCCCACTTTATCAGTGGAGTAAATTACAGTACTCTTGGGCAGATCCTGATGAGTCACTCAACTCTGGCTTAATTAGTAATTCCCCATTGCTTAACAAATTAAGTACACATGCTCTGGCGGGGTGTGGTGGGTTGCTGATGCCTGTAATCCCAGCACTTTGAGAGGCAGAGGCCGGAGGATTGCGTGAGTCCAGGAGTTCATGAGCAGCCTGGGAAGCATGATGAAACTATGTTTCTACTACAGATAGAAAAATTAAGCATGTGGTGTGCACCTCTAGTCCCAGCTACACAGGAGACTGAGGTGGGAGACTTACCTGGGCCTGGGATGTTGAGGTTCCAGTGAGCTATGATCGCACCCCTACACTCCAGCCTGGGTGACAGAGCGAGACCCTGTCTCTGAATAAGAAAATAAAAAGTACCCAAGCCCTGTGCCCGACCAGCTCCTCAGCTTTGTCTTCTGCCCTGACTTCAGCCGGCTAGTCCTACTCTCCATACCCCAAAAGGCTCTGGTGCTTTTTGGACTGACCTTTCTTGGGTCCTGTTCTTTTCCCTGCTGTCTGGGAAGTGGCCCCTTCAGATTGCCTGTTTGAAGGGTCAGATGAAGAGAGATGCTCAACTCTGCCTTAACGCCTTTATTCTAGTTCCATTTACTCAGCCGTTGCTAGAGCGCTTATCTGCTGTTGTAGACACAGGGCAGGGCTGACTGGAAGCGGTGCTTTTCTAGTTGGGGCTGCAAGGAAATGTCGTCCTTTCGGAGCAAAGGAGGCCCAAAAGAAGTCGGGGATTTGTGACCCTTCCAGACAGCAGGAACAGCAAGGGCACAGGTGCTGAGGTGTGTTTGAGAGACAGCAGCAAGGCTGGCGAGTGAGGGGCAATGGGGGAGATGAGGTCTGAGTATACAGGAGCTGGGTCAGGAGGGGCCTGGTAGGCTGGGTTTGTGGGGACTCTCGAGTTTTTTTTTTTTTTGAGCATGGTGGGAACCCATGAAAAGTTTTGAGCTGAATAGTGATGTGCCCTTAGGGTTTTTTCTTTTCTTTCCTTTTTGAGACAGAGTCTCATTCTGTTGTCATGCTGGAGTGCAGTGGCACAATCTCGGCTCACTGCAACCTATGCCGCCCGGGTTCAAGCGATTCTCTGCCTCAGCCTCCCAAGTAGTTTGGATTATAGGCGCCCACTACTGCATCTGGCTAATTTTTCATATTTTTGGTAGAGACGGGGTTTCACCGTGTTAGCCAGGATGGTCTTGATCTCCTGACCTCATGATCCGCCTGCCTCGGCCTCCCAAAGTGCTGGGATTACAGGTGTGAGCCACCACTCCTGGCCTGTTTTTGTTTTTTTTCTGTCTCACACTGTTGCACAGGCTGGAGTGCAGTGGTGCAATCTCTACCTCTAGGTTCGAGCCATTCTCCTGCCTCAGCCTCCCCAGTAGTTGGGATTGCAGGTGTCCGCCGCCACACCTGGAATTTTTTGTATTTTTAGTAGACGGGGTTTCACCATGTTGGTCAGTCTGGTCCCAAACTCCTGACCTTAGGTGATCCGCCCGCCTCAGCCTCCCAAAGTGCTGGGATTACAGTGTGAGTCACCGTGCCCAGCCGTGACTTAATTGGATAGGATCTGTCTGGCTGTTCTGGCAAGGGGCTGGGGGGTGGCAACAGGGAGAGCAGGGAGGAGGCTGATGGCTTTATTCAGGCAAGAGATGATGGCACCTACATATCCAGCTGACAGTGGTTAAGCAAAATGGAGTATATTCGTCACATGGAAAATTAAGTGACCATAGAAAGAAATGAGGCTGGGCATGGTATGGTGGCCCACACGTGTAGTCTCAGCACGTTGGAAGGCCAAGGTGGGCGGATCGCCTGAGCCCAGAAGTTCGAGATCAGCCTGGGCAACATGGTGAAACCCAGTCTCTACAACAGTTACAAAAATTAGCCAGGCATGAGTGGCTTACACCTGTAGCTGCTTCTACCAGGGAGGCTGAGGTGGGAGGATCGCTTGAGCCCAGAAGGCAGAGGTTGAGGTGAGCTTTGATTGGGTCACTGCATTCCAGCCTGGGCAGTAGCGCAAGACCTTGTCTCAAAGGGAAAAAAAAGAAAGGAATGGAGTACCGATGATGTGCTAGAGCGGGGATGAACCTCCAAAACAGTTTGCTAAGTGAAAGAAGCCAGACAAAAAGTCACAAACCATAGGATTCCCACACAGGCAAATCCACAGAAACAGAAAGCAGATGAGTGGTTGCCAGGGTCTGGTGTTTAGGGGCTGGTGGGTAAATGGTACAGGAGCTTTAATTTCAAGGTGAGGAAGTGTTCTAAAATTGCACAAGTGGTAGTGGTTGCACATGTCTGTGACTACACTGAAAACCACTGAATTCGCCAGGCACGGTGGCTCATGCTTGTAATTCCAGCACTTTGGGAGGCCAAGGCAGGCAGATCACAAGGTCAGGAATTCAAGACCAGCCTTACCAACATGATGGAAACCGCCCCCCACCACCCCATCAGCCACCTGTAATCCCAGCTACTCAGGAGGCTGAGGCAGCACAGTTGCTTAACTCCAGGAGGCGGAGGTTGCAGTGAGCTGAGATTGCTCTATTGCACTCCAGTCTGGGCAACAGAACGAGACTCCGTCTAAAAAAAAAAAGAGAGAAACAATGGCCGGGCGTGGTGGCTCATGCCTGTAATCCAAGCACTTTGGAGGCCAAGGCAGGCAGATCACCTGAGATCGGGAGTTCAAGACCATCCTGACCAACATGGTGAAACCTCATCTTTTTTTTTTTTTTTTGAGACGGAGTTTCGCTCTTGTTACCCAGGCTGGAGTGCAATGGCACAATCTTGGCAGCCTCCGCCTCCTGGGTTCAGGGAATTCTCCTGCCTCAGTCTCCTGAGTAGCTGGGATTACAGGCACGCACCACTGTGCCCAGCTAATTTTTTGTATTTTTAGTAGAGACGGGGTTTCACCATGTTGACCAGGATGGTCTCGATCTCTTGACCTCATGATCCACTCGCCTCAGCCTCCCAAAGTGCTGGGATTACAGGCATGAGCCACCACTCCCAGAGAAACCTCATCTTTTAAAAGAAAAAGTTTTTTGTTTTTCGTTTCAATTTTTAAAATAAAATAATAATAATTAAAAAAAAAAACACTGTATTGTCTGCCTTAAGCAATGAGTTGTATAGCATGTAAATATCTCCTTAAAGCTTTTTTCTTTTTTTTAAAAGAAGGGGTTTCACCATGATGGCCAGGCTGGTCTTGAACTCCTGACTTCAGGTGATCCACCCACCTCAGCCTCCTAAAGTGCTAGGATTACAGGTGTAAGCCACCGCGCCCGGCACATTTTTTTTGAGATGGAGTCTCTCTTGCCCAGGCTGGAGTGAAGTAGTGTGATCTAAGTTCACTGCAACCTCCGCCTCCTGGGTTCAAGCACTTCTCCTGCCTCAGCCTCCCGAGTAGCTAGGATTACAGGGGCATGCAACCTACACCTGGCTACATTTTTGTGTTTTTAGTAGAGACAGGGTTTCACCAAGTTGGTCAGGCTGGTCTGGAATTCCTGACTTCAGGCCTCTCAAAGTGCTGGGATTACAGGTGTGAGCCACCTGTCAAGCTATTCTATGGCCTGGTCCGTATAGCTGTTCTAATTTAAAAAAAACTAATAATAACAAACAGGTGATAGCAGCTTGGGGCCAGCAGGGTAACATAGGTGAGAACTTGGGATTCACTGCCTGATGGACAGGGAGGCTGAGAGAGAGAAAACAGCTATTGAGAGAATGGAATTGCTGTTTCTGAGCTGGGAATGAGTGACAGTGGGCCAGAAATGGCTCAGGATCCTCAGCATCCAGCCTCAGGAAGAAGTGTAGCAGCTGTAGCCCTTCTGCTGTACCCACCTGACTAAGAGTCTGGGGTAGAGGAGGAGGACAAAAGACAGTTGTCCTCATGTTTGAGTTCCTTGCACCCAGCAGGCACTTGGTATGCATTAGATTCATAAAGCAAAGAGGTGAGCAGACTTTGTATTAATTCCATTTTCCATCTCAGCTTTATTTTTATTGGCCTGGGCCCAATGGGAGGCCTTTCATGAGAGCACTTAATTATCCCCCTGTGCAGACCACAGAGAGTGGGAGAACCCGGCTGGGCAGACACCGCTTGCTCTCTCAAAAACAGTCGTGCCAGCATCCTGCAGCCCCACCCTTAGGGTCTTTGGGCTCCTGTACCATGCAGGCCCAGCGGGTTCCTTGGTGAGTGATGGAGAGGGGGCTTCTTTGGGCTCAGTAGTCTGAGGAGGTTCATAGGAACTGAGGCTTACATGTCAAGGAGGTATTCGTGCAGAGACTAGGGGCAGAGCATTCCTGGTGGTGACAGTGGGGTTCAAAGGTTTGGGGCAGGGGCTCCAGGGGTCTGAGCAGCCGAAAAAGGCTAGGGGTAGGGTGGGATGAGGTGGGCAGGGGTCAGACCAAGGGGATTGCCTGGCCTGTAGTGAGAGTTGGGATTTTAACTCTGGGAATCATGAGAAGCTCTTGAAGGTTGACATGTGGGCGTGGCCAGCTGGGCACGGGAGAGAGATGGGGTGGCTCGGGAGTGGCTCGGGGGTGGGGAGGTGGAGACAGCGAGCAAAGCTGTGAGGTGCAGCCTAGGTGGAGCTGATGGGCTCTGTGGAAGGAGGCGGCAGAGAATTCCGTTTTGATGAAGCTTTATTGCCCTTCTGTGCTCACTCACGGGGCCCTGCCTCTCTCTGTCCTCAGCAGCATGGCAGAACAGGATGTGGAAAACGAGCTTTTGGATTACGACGAAGAGGAAGAGCCCCAGGCTCCTCAAGAGAGCACACCAGCTCCCCCTAAAAAAGACATCAAGGGATCCTATGTTTCCATCCACAGCTCTGGCTTCCGGGACTTTCTGCTGAAGCCAGAGCTCCTGCGGGCCATCGTGGACTGTGGCTTTGAGCATCCATCTGAGGGTATGCCTTCCGGGTGTGATCCTCTTGCCCAGGTCCTCTCACCAAGACAAGACTGGCCCTGCCCACCCAGAGCAGTGCTGCATCGGGTGTGCTGTGGGTGAGGGAGGGGCCTTCCTGCCCCTAGGATCAGTTTTGCCTGCGGGTCCTATGGCTGCCCTCAGCAGCAGGGCGCTCTGCTTTGACCAGGCGGATACCCTAACCCTGCAGGTGTCTATGGCTGGGTCCGGACTTGGCCTCTTCTGTGGGACCCCAGCCACCTGGTGAGGAGCCTCCACGAGGGCACATCCAAGTTCTAGTTCCTCATGCTGTCCTTCTCCTGCAGTCCAGCACGAGTGCATTCCCCAGGCCATCCTGGGCATGGACGTCCTGTGCCAGGCCAAGTCTGGGATGGGCAAGACGGCAGTCTTCGTGCTAGCCACTCTGCAACAGATCGAGCCCGTCAACGGACAGGTGGGTGGCCTCCTCCCTTCCCAGGCCCACCCTGCCTGTGGTGGCCGTAGTAGAATAGGCTGGATGTGGTGGCTCATACCTGTTTCCCCAGCGCTTTGGGAGGCCGAGGCTGTGGGATTGCTTGAGCCCAGGAAGTTGAGGCTGCGTGTGCTATGATCTTACCACTGCATTCCAGCCTGGGAGACACAGGGAGACTCCATCTCAAAAAATAGTAAGAGTGGCTGGGCATAGTGGCTCACACCTGTAATCTCAGCACTTTGCAGGGCTGAGGTGGGTGGATCACCAGGTCAGGAGTTTGAGACCAGCCTGACCAACATGGTGAAACCTCATCTCTACTAAAAATACAAAAATTAGCTGCGTGTGGTGGTGGGTGCCCATAATCCCAGATACTTGGGAGGCTGAGGCAGGGGAATCATTTGAACCTGGAAGGTGGAGGTCGCGGTAAGCCCGGATCGTGCCACTGCACTCTAGCCTAGGCAATAGAGTGAGACTCTTAAAAGAGTGCTAAGTTATAGCAAAAATCAGAAATTGATAATAGGCCAAAATAACTGGAAAGCGCCCACAGTTTGCTCCTTGCCCCAGAGACGTGGCTGTTGTTTTGCTGTGCCACTTACCTAGAGAGTGTTTATGAAGTTAAGGTTGCCCCAAATACAGCTGTCACCTGTCCTTGCTGTGATGCCCTGGCTGTCTTCGACCATTGTCTTGTTGTATGCCACCATCTTGGGGGAAAAACTCGAGTGAATTCTGGAGTCTCACTCCTGAGTCATGCCAGGTGCACATCGTTGGGCTTTGTATTGGCCCACGTGCCCCCGTTATCTCAGTATATCCTGAAGGATGAAGGTGCTGTGGGAGGCTGTGGTGTGGTCCAGTGCCTGGTGGCATAGGCAGGAAGGCCCAGGAAGTCCTTAGAGAATCGGTCCCACATCCACTGGGCAGGCCAGATCTAACCATTATGCAGGCCATTTTCTGTTCCTCATTGCGGGTCCTGGTGTTGGGAGGCTGGGGTTTCAGTAGCTGTGGGAGGATGTAGGGAGTGAGAGTTGAGGAAGGGCTGTGGTGGGGGGAGACGTTTGGACTGTGCCTTCAAATGGCCTATGATGTGGGGTACAGTGTATCGGGGACTGGTGGGGTGGACTCTGGTGGGAAAGGGGTTAGGATACTGCCTAACAGGAGAATCGCTCAAAAATGGGAGGCCGAGGTTGCAGTGAGCCACAATGACACCATTGCACTCCAGCTTGGGCAACAATAGCGAAACTCTGTCTCAAAACAAGAAAAGGACACTGCCTGAAGGCCCTCTTTCCTGCTATGCCCCAGGTGATGGTCCTGGTCATGTGCCACACAAGGGAGCTGGCCTTTCAGATCAGCAAGGAATATGAGCGCTTCTCCAAGTACATGCCCAGCGTCAAGGTGAGCCCCTCGGGCTGGACTAGGCTAGGCGCTTCTTGGTCTCTGCAGCTTTGTTAGCCTCGGCTCTGGCCCAGCCAGCATTTACCAAGCTTGGCAGGGGTAGCGGCCTTTGAGGTTTGCGGTGGTTTTTGCTCCTTAAAAGCCTGATGAATTATGCATGGCTCCCAGGAGCCTGCGCCGGTCCCAGCCTGGGGCTGCCTTTGAGTGGAGCCCTGGGAGGCTCTCAGGCCTGCCCTGGTCCCCCCGAGACTGCCTGTTTACAGGTGCTGGGACTAGGTATTGGGTGCCCTCAGGGGCCGCTGGGGCCGTGCAGGTCGGGGCCTTGGAGCAACTTCCTCCTCATCCCTGTAGGTGTCTGTGTTCTTTGGGGGCCTCTCCATCAAGAAGGATGAAGAAGTGTTGAAGAAGAGCTGTCCCCATGTTGTGGTGGGGACCCCGGGCCGCATCCTGGCGCTTGTGCGGAACAGAAGCTTCAGTCTGAAGAATGTGAAGCACTTTGTGCTGGACGAGTGCGACAAAATGCTGGAGCAGCTGGGTGAGTCCTCTGCCCTCACAGCGCCTGCTGGAGAGTCAGCGGCTAGGCGGGCCCGTAGCAGGCAGAAGGCTCGAGTGGGTCATGTGGGTGGTCAGCATGTGGGGCTCCCATGCGTGATCTTAGGGAAAGCTCTGCCACTGGCAGAGGGATATCCTGTTTCTGAGCTTGAGCTGAATGGGACCACAGGGCCCAAACAAACCCCTGTCCCTGCCTGGATGTAAAGGCACACACCTGTACCTCTGAGGCTTCAGCTACCTGTTGGGTTGGTTCTAGGCCCCACCTGCCTCAGACCCAACAGGGCTGGTGGGAGATGGGCTTGTGTCCTGGGAGGCAGCTGCAGCTCTCACCCCAGCGGCTGTCTCTGCCTCAGGCTCCCCTCCCTGAAGCCTGGCTCGAGGCGCACGGGCACCGCTGCTCCGCGCCAGCGTGTAAGTGGATTGCAGCTCCTCCCGCGCCTGCGTTTATTGGCCATCCCCAGCCCCTCAGGCACCAGGACTGGCCCCTCCCTTGGCTCACTCTGCCCTCGTCGCAGTGCCACTGGCTCCCTGGCACAGGTTGGGAGGGGTCTGGGTCTGGTCTGGGGTGGGGGTCCTGCCTGGCAGATGCTCATGCCCACCCACGTCTTGCCCTCGCCACTCAGACATGCGGCGGGACGTGCAGGAGATCTTCCGCCTGACGCCACATGAGAAGCAGTGCATGATGTTCAGCGCCACCCTGAGCAAGGACATCCGGCCTGTGTGCAGGAAGTTCATGCAGGATGTGAGTAGGGCGAGAATGGCAGCTTCGGCCCTCCCCAGGGTCATGGAGCCTGGGGCCCCAGGACGCCCACACGGCACAGAGGATGCTGGGATGCTGGGAGCCGGCGGAGCCTCCTTCCCTCCCCTCGGTCTTGTCAAACTAGGAATCAAGCTTGGTCCACACCTGAGCCGGACCAGAGCTTACGTCCAGCTTTTGGTAGAGCAATGTTTACTGAGGTCCGGTGCAGCAGGCCCTCTGGGAAGCGTCGCACAGAGGAGTCGCCCACTGGAAAGTTCTGGGCAAGCGAGATGCCCAGAGGTGATCCCTGCCCGCCCCTCCCACCTCCCTTCCCACACAGCCCATGGAGGTGTTTGTGGATGATGAGACCAAGCTCACGCTGCACGGACTGCAGCAGTACTACGTCAAACTCAAAGACAGCGAGAAGAACCGGAAGCTCTTCGACCTCCTGGACGTGCTGGAGTTTAACCAGGTGACGCTTCCATCACTTCGTCCTGGGGCTCTGGGCCGCAGAGACTGTGTGGCCCTGACCGCCCCTTCTTCCCCAGGTGATCATCTTCGTGAAGTCAGTGCAGCGCTGCATGGCCCTGGCCCAGCTCCTTGTGGAGCAGAACTTCCCGGCCATCGCCATCCACCGGGGCATGGCCCAGGAGGAGCGGTGAGTGCCAGCTGCCCGCCAAGGCTGCAGGGAGTGCCACCCAGGAGCCCAGTGTCTGACGGCCTCCACTTGTTTCTCCTGCATCCCAGCCTGTCACGATATCAGCAGTTCAAGGATTTCCAGCGGCGGATCCTGGTGGCCACCAATCTGTTTGGCCGAGGGATGGACATTGAGCGAGTCAACATTGTCTTTAACTATGACATGCCCGAGGACTCGGACACCTACCTGCACCGGGTGAGGGCCTCACAGGCGCGTTGCTCTCCTCTGGCTGTGGGGTGGGGCCCCAGCCCTGCTTTTCCTCAAGTCCTGAGGAGGCATCTGTGGCCTGACCCTGATCCTCTGCCTACAGGTGGCCCGGGCGGGTCGCTTTGGCACCAAAGGCCTAGCCATCACTTTTGTGTCTGACGAGAATGATGCTAAAATCCTCAATGACGTCCAGGACCGGTTTGAAGTTAATGTGGCAGAGCTTCCAGAGGAAATTGACATCTCCACATACAGTAAGTACCTTGGGCAGGGTGGGGGTCTAGGGCAGAGGGTCCCTCCCTGGGCCCTTTGGCTCACTGCATCCTCTGTGTCTTACAGTTGAGCAGAGCCGGTAACCACCACGTGCCCTGCCAGTCCAGAGCCGCCAACCTGGAGCCTCCCACATGCAGCTCCACCTCCTCTTTCCAGACGCCCCTGTTCAAAAGCTATAGATTGTGTAAGAATAAACTTGTATTATGGAAGCCTGGTTCCCACACCATGTTTCTTGGTCGCCTCGGCCTTTCACAGACACCCTGGGCCTGGCCTCTAAGTCACCACCAGCAGTCAAGGCCATCTTCTGTATGAATGTATTTAATTTTAAGTGTCAACATTGAAAGGTTTAAACATAAAAACACATTATACAACATCCACAACCTTCACAACAGTGAGAACCTCCAGCCTGGCCAGGGAGGGCAGGCCTCTGTACCGTGAGCCTCAGGCAGTGGGCCCAAGGGGCCCTGCTGTGGGGCCTCTGACATCAGTCTTAGCTTAAGAGGGAAGCTGAGCCCCAGCGCCTAGTCTGCAGCAGACATGAGAGGAAAAGGCTAGGCCGGGACAAGAGCCCTCAGTCTGTCCCGAGTGCTGGCCACATGTGCCAGGGCAACAGGCCGAAGCCCCGGGCCAGCCTGTCCCCACCCTGAGTCATAAGGTGGGGGAGAGAGGCAGCCAGCAGCAGGACCAGCGGCTCTTACTCCACCCCACTGGGAGTCCTGGGCTTTGTTGCCAGACTATAGCTGCCACTCCCTCCTGGTGGCACATGTGGACTCAAGGAGGGAGGGTGGAGGGAGCAGAGTGGCGAATGGAGGGAGGACGGATGGTCTTCATGTGCAAAGCTGCTTCGGCCACAGGAGCTGCTGGCCCATCCAGAGCGGTGCATCCTCACATGCCAGACTCTGATGCCCTGAGGGCCTGGAGAGGAGCCCGGTGAGGCCCAAGCCAGCTCTGGTATCTTCCTGCCCACACACCCGCCTAAGGCGCAGCCCCTTACCCGTGTCTGATTGTGGCCGGTGCCAGACGTACTGGAGGTGAATTCTGAGTACTTGCTCCCCCCAGCAACTAGGCAGGCCCACTTCCGGTACTCCTCCCGAACCTGCTGGCCCAGGACACCCGATCAGGCCAGGAGCAGGCCCTGGGACCCTGCAGGCCCCTCCCATGCTCTGCCCTCAGCCCCACATTGGTGTTTTTGTGGGTTTTTTTTTTGAGATTGGGTCTCCCCGTCACCCAGGCTGGAGTGCAGTGGTGCCATCATAGCTCACTGCAACCTGGAACTGCTGGTTCCATGTGATCCTCCTGTCCCAGCCTTCTGAGAAGCTGAAGTTACTGGTATACACCACTGCACCTGTCTATCTTTGAATTTTTTGTAAAGATGAGGTCTGGTTATGTTGCCCAGGCTGGTCTTGAACTTCTGGGCTCAAGGAGTCCTCCCCCCTCGGCCTCCCAAGTAGATGGGAGGATGACAGGCATGCGCCACCGTGCCCGGGCCCCCACCTTCTTGTTGAGCAGGCAGTGCAGCACGTAGAGGAAGGCACCCTGCAGGCAGTTGAGGATGGTGAACACATAGGTAAGCACCAAGCTCCGACTGTCAAAGATGAACAGGCCAAACACCCAGGTGCAGCCCAACAGGAAGAGCTGCGCGATGGCCGTGATGGTCAGCACCCTGTGGGGAGGGGTTACAGTGTGGGCACCCACCTCGCCTCCAGCTTCACGTCCCTCGTCCTGGCCCCGCCTCCAGGTCCTCCCAGCCCCTCCTTACCTCGCCTGCTTTAATTTCTTCATGTCTGGATTGATTTCAGAAAACTTCTGAGTGAGCTTCCAGACAGTGGTCACAAAGATGACAGCATTGCACTGGGCAGGGAGCAGATTGTGGGTTAGAGGGTGGGAGAGATGGTTCAGCCAGGCCTGGGCCCTTGGCCCTTGAAGGGGGAGTGGGTACTTACCAAAATGATGAATGCCACAGGCCCCAGGAAGCTCCAGAGGAAGCCCTGCTCAAAGTCCAACCAGCAGCTGGGACGGAAGGGAGGGGTTCCATCAGTGCCCCAGGAAGCCAGGAGCAGAACCCAGGGCAGTGGGGCATGGTATGTGACACTGCCTGTGAGCCCCGGGCCTGGCACCCCGCCCTCCCCTGCCCCGCCTCACTGCACTCACTATCTAGGGCGGCCGTAGCCCTTGCTGTAGACTGCAGCCGAGACGCCCACGATGAGCAGGGGCACACCGTAGCCGATCAGGCAGAGCCAGCGCGTACTCAGGCCCTGGCCCTGGAACACCCGCACCACAAGAAAGTAGAGCTCCAGGCCTTCGAGGCTCATCCAGCAGAAGGCGGCCAGGAAGCAGTAGTGCAGGAGCCCGGCCACCAGGCGGCAACGCAGCCCCACCTGCCGGGCGAGGACGGAGAGGCGGGGCGATGTCAGCGAGGGGCGGGGCATATGGGGCCAGAGCCGACGGGGGAGTGGGCGGGTCTGGGGTAGCGCCAGGTTCTCAGGGCCCACCCCCAACAACGCTCACAGAAGCCAGCTGGGACTCAGGGCAGGGCCAGGCGGCTTCAAAGACAGAGCCATTTAAAAAGACAACCCGACCCCCCAGGTGGGCGGGGCCAGGTCACGGGCAGGGGCGGAACCCCAAGCCTCCAGGGCCCGCCTCCCCGGCCAACCCCCTCCCAGGCCTCCCTGACCCAGAGCTCAGGTGGGAGCGGGACGGGACCTCACCTGGCCGCCTTCGTTCTCGATGCCGGCCAGGAAGATGGTGGAGCCCACGAAGAGGCAGATGCAGAGGTGCAGGTGTATGGTGGTGCGCGAGCCCTGGATGGGCCGCACCAGCAGGAAGGTAAGGATGCACAGCAGCAGGCAGAAGAGTGACAGCGCCAGTCCCACCCTGGTGATCAGGGTCAGCTTCCAGTCCTAGGAGCAGCACTGGGTGCTCAGGGTTCCTTCAGGGCCTGAGGCCTTCCCGGCCTCTTTTTGGCCACTTTTTCCCCCACACTCTGACAGGCCCGCCTCTCTGACCTCCTCCCTTGTCCCTACTACATCTAGCCACACTTAGCAGCTGGTAGGTGAGTCTAGGGATTTCACATTTTTGTGCTTGCTGGACCTTTGGCCTGGACCACAGGCGCCCCCCTTCTCTGCCTGGTTAATACAGTTTTTGACAAGGCCCAGCTTAATTATGGATTCTACTGAAGTCACAAACAGAGGTGCTCCAGGCTGGGAGTAGTGGCTCACACCTGTAATCCCAGCACTTTGAGGGGTGAGGTGGATCTCACCTGAGGTCAGGAGTTTGAGACCAGCCTGCCCAACATGTTGAAACCCCATCTCTACTAAAAATACTAAAATGAGCAGGCGTGGTGGTGTGCGCCTGTAATCCCAGCTACTCCGGAGGCTGAGGCAGGATAATTTTGTTTGTTTTTTTGACACGGAGTTTCGCTCTTGTTACCCAGGCTGGAGTGCAATGGCGCGATCTCGGCTCACCGAAACCTCTGCCTCCTGGGTTCAGGCAATTCTCCTGCCTCAGCCTTCTGAGTAGCTGAGATTACAGGCACACGCCACCATGCCCAGCTAATTTTTTTTTTTTTGGCATTTGTAGTGGAGACGGGGTTTCACCATCGAGACCAGGAAGGTCTCGATCTCTTGACCTTGTGATCCACCCGCCTCGGCCTCCCAAAGTGCTAGGATTACAGGCTTGAGCCACCGCGCCTGGCCGAGGCAGGATAACTTTTTGAACCTGGGAGGCAGAGGTTGCAGTGAGCCAAGATCACATCACTGCACTCTAGCCTGGGTGATAGAGCAAGACTGTCTCAAAAAAATAGGCTGGGCTGGGTGGCTCACACCTGTAATCCCAGCACTTTGGGAGGCCAAGGTGGGCAGATCACCTGAGGTCAGGAGTTCGAGACTAGCCTGGACAACATGGTGAAACCCGGTCTCTACTAAAAATACAAAACCTTAGAAAACGTTTTCAAAGAAAAAAAAAAAATACAAAACTTATCCAGGCATGGTGGTGGCAGGCCTGTAATCCCAGCAGAGACCTGTAATGCCTCCCAGACTTCAGAGGCTGAATCGGGAGAATGACTTGAACCCAGGAGGTGGGGCTTGCAGTGAGTTAAGATCCCTTCACTACACTCCAGCCTGGGCGACAGAGTGAGACTCTGTCTCAAAAAAAATAAAAGAAAGTGGTGCTCCCTTGGAATGCTCTACACAGGAAGCTTTTAGTGACATCTCACCACTGGTATAGGATGGATAGGCAAAGGAGCCACTGGCTGCACCCAATGTATAGTTTCAGGGTCGCAGAGAAGAGGCCAAGGGAAGAGGCTGCAAGAGGAGTGACATGGGGACACCTGGGCTGTACAACCCTGCAGATGTATCTGAGCAACCGGTGGGGCTCCATGGAGAACTGGTTGCCTGTCTGGTTGCAGCTGGACCTTGTTACCTGTGGGTGCTTGAAGATGGCCCTAGCTGCTCACCTCCACGTCGTAATGAGCCATGAGGATGGCAAAGCTGCTCAGGTGGTTGCATCGGCAGGTGGTGCTGCCATTCTTGCTGCCCAGCACCTGGCAGCCCTCAGTGGCCCAGTGCCCTCCCCTGTTGCTGTCACTCTTCCAGAAAGCACAGATCAGCTCCTGCCGTGGCCCGGGTGTCACGTCCTGTGGGCAGATGGGGGTGGTCAGAGAGGTTGGCCTGGAGCTCACTGTTAGGTCCTGGGCTTGGCTGAGCAAAAGAGGGCTGTTTTTCATTAATGAGCATTTACCGAGCACCTACTGAATGTAACAGGTTTGGAGACACAGCAGTGAACAGGGCAGACACAAGTACCTACCCTTGTGAGGTTGACATAAGAGTGAGAGAGATGGCTGGGCACGGTGGCTCATGCCTGTAATCCCAACACTTTGGAAGGCCAAAGCGGGAGGATCATAAGGTCAAGAGATCAAGACCATCCTGGCCAGTATGGTGAAACCCCATCTCTACTAAAAATACAAAAATTAGCTGGGTGTGGTGGCGCGTGCCTATAGTCCCAGCTACTTGGGAGGCTGAGGCTGGAGAATCGCCTGAACCCGGGAGGCAGAGGTTGCAGTGAGCTGAGACTGTGCCATTGTACTCCAAGTGTAGCAACAGACTAAGACCCCAACTCAAAAAATAAAATACTAAAAATAAATAAATGAAATAAAATAAAATAGGCCAGGTGCAGTTGCTCACACCTATAATCCCAAGTGGCCAAGGCAGGC